CGGTAACGATTTCGGCAAATCAGACTACGTCCATCGACCGTCTTCATTTATGCGAGCACTGTCTCCCGTGTCAACTCGAATACAACATCGAAAGGTCGCTCTCCCTCGAGAGTTATCTACTTGTTCACATGTTTTCATGCGAGTAGATTCGGTACGCAAACCTTTGCAACAGCCTTACGAAGGCCCTTTTCACGTGATCTCTCGTCACGAAAAGACCTTCAAGGTTGATGGACATGGCCGCGTCGAGATCGTCAGCATTGATCGTCTCAAACCAGCACACGTCGATGACAGTGCCCTATTCGATAACGAGGGACTCAATGCTAGACCCATCAAACCTACTGGCGGGATCCTTACATCTACTTAAGAACCCATACTGGATACGTCAGAGACCCCATTCTCACGTCCCGGTCAACAGCACGCGTCATCTGCACCATCGACGGACGAGACTTCCGTCCCACGTTCAGATCAACAGACCACGCCGCCCTTGGCTTCGGATGAGATTGCAGGCTCACGAATTACGAACGAGACTACCATCTCACGTTCCGGTCGCCGAGTACGCTCACCAGTACGCTTTCGCGACTAACCTCACAGTCAACAACGGATACGGTGTAGGACTGTTCCTATAATACATGCATGCTACACTTTTTTCTCCTTTTTTGATTTTTTTTTTCGAATCCTGAGCCCATGCCTCCGACCATCGCCCGTTTGGTACCGTTGACTTCAGTCAACTTTGATGAAAGCCGGTCTGGCCACCCACGCACTTGTCAACGCACTCAGTCGATAATCTGGTTTCGAATCCGACTGGCATACGCTTGGTTTCGCACTTGGTTGTTATGGTCGCTTCTGATTCCTCGGTTCAACGTGGTTTCGTCCTACGTCTGCAGTGTTTCCTGGTCCGCATTCCTACGAACGCAACCTTCAGATCCTGAATGCAAACCACTCTAGTGTGGTAAGCTGACTCGAGAGACAAATACAGCACGCTTCTCCTGGTACCGTTCTACGTAAAAGACCTTCGTTGGCAACGCGAGGATCAACGATCGCTTCCTGTTTCACCAATTCTTCCGTCCTACAACCGCACTTTTGCCGATCAGTCCCACGAACCAGACCGCTACCTATCGAAAGCGTAAACTTTTTCTAGCGGGAAGCTCCTGTAGTGACCTACTTTTGTCAACAGAACGCGATTGGTTTAATGTAAACAATTATTATTATAAACAATTGTACCAGTGACTGTTTTACTGTGCTCGTTCTTTTAACTATACTAAAGACAGCCATTACTCTCCTCCGTTAATTTTCCGTGGACTGTGACCTTGTACACTCATTCTTCTACCCACTAATTCCGCTTGTATGCCTTTTGGCATGATCTCGGCTTTCGTTCGATACCACGAGATCGCCAACAAATAAATCTGGTTACGAACCTTCTTTGCCTTCTGATTTACCTGGTACGCGCCTATCTTGTAGTGGTGATCATAGTCAACCGTAACTCGACGCCACGCTACAGGATCATATACAATATACTAGTCTCATAAGGTGGGATTCATAATCACAAATTTAAAAGAGTAATCATTGTGGCTTTTGAGGTTGATACAGCTTATATCCGCATCACTTTCAGTATTCACCAGCTGCCATCACCTCGCGTTGCTAGGCATTACAGTGTATGTAATTTGTCAAAGTGGAATGCCCATTAGTTCTGGTTTGGCTGTTGAGAACAATCACACTGTAGTTACTCTTGATTTATGTATAGATAGCACATCCGTGACTGTCATGAGGAAGAAGTCACGGACAGCCTCGGGACTGATTTTCTTTTCTACTGTGCCTACCTTTAGATGTGTTCACGGTCCTTGACTGTTCTTAAGTGCTCGCCCATATGGATCTAATAGGGTTCTCTTCAAGCAGTTCTGAGAATTCCTATGTCTTATTTTTAGTACTAATGTTGTGACATTAGCTTTTAACCGCTCGATCTTAGGAGGTAAGGTTACAATGACTGAGAAGACTAACATTAGCCACCAAACACTTAGATAAGGTCAACAAAAGTTAGCAGGAGAACACTTAGTCGAAATGGCATGCCCCAGCCCTGGAGGTGTGACCACTCTAGGTATCCTCTTGTTCTTTGTACAAAATAAATCTTTGATTTTTATTTAATTGTTTTCTCTCTTACACCATATTGACCATATTTATTTTGATCATTAATCTCACGATTTTAATTAGCTTATAAACTGATCCAAGTTAACACTTCATATTAGTCAGCCCCAACATTAACGATCTGATATGATTTTATACAACAAACAATTCTTGATTGACATATAACAATTTTAAATGATGTATTCTGTCTTAAATCTGGCCAATTTTATGTATTATTAATTTGGATTTATAACTGTATAACCTGATGAGGAATTATTGAAAAGAATATGTAATTGTGTTTTAAATAAATTATCACTACGTTGAATGTGTTCTCTAATGGTTCAACAATACCGCACTACTGATCATCACAATGGGACTAAACGGGATAGATAATGGTGTGATTTTCAAGTAAGATCTCATAGGCCAGGTTGTCATACCACAGCAAGCTCGTAGTACTGGATTGTCTTTTTATTTCAGTAGCATAGATAAGTGTACTTATACTAACCTGAAATTAAATTATACCATTTGTACTATTTGTACAAGCCCGATCACATGTAAATACATACTCATCCACCCTGACTGTTGCTCGCGATTAACCAGGTGCATACGAAATTCATCCTAATACCCAAATCGTATTACTCTCCCTCAGTAGTCGTTTAGTTCTGGCACTATATCCCCAACTATTTCGACTTCATCCTTATTGACCATCTTCTGGATGTATGCTGGTGAATGGAATAAAAGTCCTTGCTTATATATATATATATATATATATATATATATATATATATATATATATAACTGCAGTTATAATTTCATGGATGTAAACTCCCCGAACAGATGTCATGATTTATCTCCGCACACCAAACAGCTGGCAGTCGGTGGTCTTTAATTTATTTTAGGATCTAGACACATTGTTTTGAAATAAATGTGAGATTTGAAGAACGCAGGATCGAGATGATGTCTATCACTATTAATATAGAAATTTATCAGCTCTTCACAAAAGATTGGGCTAATTATTGAGCCAAGTTCAAAGACAGTATGATAGTAGGATCCGAAAAAAATTTGAAGGATAAGTAGATACAACAGGCCTAACAGAAAGAGCGCCATAATAATCCCTGTCTTTAAAACATGCACGAGAACCAAACCTCAGACTTATCGATCAGTAAGCCTAACCAGAGAGATTGATAAGATTCTAGGGAGGAATTTTATGAGTATGTAGACGAAAGCCAGATCGTCCCTGAGAATCGCCAGTTTTAAACTAGTTATTCGAGTCTCACAAAGTTCTTAGCAGCCCGTTATGATAATCATGCGGATCCCAACCAGGTAGTCAGCGCTTATCAATATAGTTCAGTGCAATTGCCAATAACTTCAGGAACTAGAGCCATGTTTTGGTTTGTCTTCCCTTGGATTTCTGCCAACTTACAACACCGACAATATCGCCCGTCGAAGTAGATAGCGTTTGGGCGTACGTAATACATGCTTAGTTCACTTTAGTTGTTAAAGTTGTACTACCTCATCAATACATCCGCCTCCCTTACCTAGTACCCTATTTCCAACTCAGACTGCTTACACTGTAGTTTCAAAATACACTAGCGATTATTCGAAGACAACTATGATCGAATACACGTTACCTACAAACATCCTCTATTTTAGCGACGATGCTTCACGCTTATAAAAAAGGACTGAACGAACTGCTGCTCAGTGAACTTGTCACTCCCTTGACAGGTGTAAATCTAGACTACGCAACGAGTGGTGCAATTTGGCGAAATGCAGTGTTCGAACTGCTTCAGTTACTCATCGTCTTTGAACACAGACGTAGCGAGTTTTCAAGCAACTATTAGTTCAGTGTACGACTGACTTTCTCTTATCCTTTGATTTGAGCTGCCAGTAGAAATCACTTTATTGGTTGACTAAATCCTTTTCTAGTTGTTCCTGAAATATATTCTTAACCGTCTCATCTGTTCGGCGAGCAGCGAGACCGAAGTTCATTTCTGTTTGACTTAGTCTACCTACATGATCATTAAAATTACCCTTGTTTATTACTACGTCAAAATGTTTAACTTTTCGGGGGTAGTCAGAAATCTTTCTATTCGTCAATGGCAAGAGATTCTCTTGTCCAAGCCAAAGAAGCCTGTTGTCCTATCTGACATAGGGTTCAATCCCTAAAACATGCAACATGTAGTTTAGAGAGTGGTTTAAGGAGACCGACAATAACATTTCGTGAACTGAAATCATTAGCATTGGTGACGCGTTGTGGTCAAGTTATGCAAGAAGAGTTAATTCTGAGGATTGAGGAATTATAAAGATGCATTCGAGGGAATTGATCAGGGACAAGGTGATTTTAGATGTAATCAGTAGTACTAGGGTAAATGTCCTATTTGGCTGCCCACATCGTCGAAAAATAATTCTTCTTGACGGACGAAAGGAAGGCTTGGCTAGCGATAATCTTAGTGACCCGAGGTTGTGGCCATAGATCCAAAAAGACAAATGCTCAAAGGTGGTCAGGTATGGTATTGTTGTGGTCATTTTCTGATGCTTAAAGCTCTCCACATAGAAAGATTTCACCTCCGGAGATGGAAGTTCTCGGGGTAAAGAGAGATCAGACATGTTCGAAGTCGAACTTTTCTAACATCCGCTTTTCTCAATCATCTGTTAGTTCTTTCTTCAACACAGTCTAAAAGCCACTTCTCTGACGAAGTAAAGCTGTGACTCGAGCGATTTATTGAAAATGGACTCATAATGGTTAAAAAGGAACTCACAGATAGCTTTAAAAATGTCTCAAGCAAAAGAATTTCGTGTTTCATTGAAAAATTTAGGAAATTCATGACTTTACATAGAAAGGATTGTTCAATATCTTTGAAAGAATAAAACTTTCATTTACGCTGACCTACACTCAAAGTCACTGACTTATAAAAAGCGCGTTGTTTGCATTGGCGTTGCGCAAATGAGCTCCGATGAGGATGAGTTTTTCGATGCGCCTGAGGCTTTAGGATGCGGATGCGACGTTCGGAAGTGGAGTGACAAGTACGTTTCTTCGTTTCTGCCTTATTTGTATAGCGATGACGAGTTGATTCGCACTTATTTTGATTTTGATAGTCAAAATGCTCGTAGACGAAGTCGAGTGGAGTCTCTTAAGAAGAATCTCTTGGAAAAGTCATATTCTCTCGGACATGCATCTGGAGTTAACAGTTTCGAGGCTATGGAAGAGGTATATGCAAGACAATTCTATTTTGTAGTTTTTAATTTTATTGATGTATGTACTTATTTCACCGTACATAAAGTTTTTTTTCAGCCTAGATACAATAATTAGTAACAATCTTGTACTCATATAGCTTTCTTCAAGTACAATTTCATGCTTGTAAGTAGCCTCATGGTTCAATTTTCTGTTTTACATCAAAGTTGGTGGGTGTGTTACTTTTGGATGAACCATCTAGATTTAGGACGAAATCTGTTTTTTTTTTTTTTTGGGTGACATTCATCTGTCTATACAACTAAATGGCATTTTCGCTATATGTCTGACTATACCTCGAAAAATCTGTTACTCACACTAATTTATAACGCTTCTGAATGATTAACGTTTCTAAAAGCCACTTTACTATCTTTCAATCCTCGTTCTTGAGTATCAAATTAATGTGCCGCTCTGTGAATACATTAAAATTCTGTATATTCACGTGTTCTTTGTCGTAGCGTTTGCGTTCGTTTTAATTTGAACTTTAGGCTGATAAATGTGTTATGATAACTTAATATTGGCTGCCTAATGTGTATCGCTTCCCTAGATGTGAATTGCTGAGTCCTAATATCTGAACAGCCGGTTGGACTACCTAACCTTTATAGTTATTATATACAAGTTCAGTGATAATTTTCTTTGATTGTTTGGTGTATTGGTTCACCTTATTTTCGCTTTATAAATGAATTATTAGTAAATTTCTCTTAACGTATAAACATAGATTCTATCCCGAAATGTTCGCGATCATATCTCTCCGACGATTGAGACATATAAATCTGAAATTGGAGTTCTGAGTGTTCCAGGCGGTAAAAATGAGTTCACTTCAGATCAAGAGTTATTGCGCAGAATCAAACTGCATCATGAACCTGCTTTTGGCTTCTTAAATTCTCAACAGGAAAGCACAAGTAAGTAGGTCATTTTCACTTGTTCATATCACTAACTCATTGTGAATTTTGAGTGCAGTTATTGGTTGGCATAGAGACCTGTTAGTAATATTATTTCTTCCTTTTCTCATAGAACAGCAAGCAACACTTATTTATCGCTTGTATCATCACTGATACCACTTTTAAAGATAAGTGTTCTTATATGAAATGTTTTGAAAGTATGTGTGACAACAAAGTCAGCTTTGTGTTTGTGGAAAGTTTGCCTACTAGTTAAAGCTTTCAACCTTCAAACACTAGGCTAAATGTTTAATTCCCACTCCATCTCTTTTGGCCAAAATACAAGTAAAAAAACCGTAACCAGTTAAACACAAGATCTGTAAAAAAGTATATCAACTGTTGTCGGCAGTAAGGTGAGTCATAATAATGTCAGCTAAATTATTTAGTATTACTTTCAAACGTGTAGGGTTGTATGATTAAATGATCGGCACCTTAGTGACCTATCCCTTAAGTTTTATTCTCCTTACTGATCTCTTTTTGAGGTTTGTCGACATACATTCAAGTTCAAAAACCATCCATAAATAGTCATTTAAACTTACTGGATACTGACAGTACTCAAAAGAAGTTATCAAAAACACAATTCGCACAAACACAGACTATTTTCCGGGACAACGGGTCTTTAAGGTACCCCAATGAATGTGGCTTCACATCTCCTATGAATGTTAGCATATGTGGTTGTTCAAATGCGGCACCTGGTACTCCAACAGTATATAAATATACACATCCTATTATAAATGAAGTTGCAGACTGTAATTTTATTGAACGTTCAGACCCTCCAGTCATTCAACTTCTCAGATCTCAGGTAGTATCTTCAGCACCTGAGGTATCAAATAGAAATAATGATGCTAAACACCTCTTGGATTATGTCAAATCTTGGTCTCTAGGTGCGGCTAAACAATATGTAAGTTTTATTTAACTTAGTCTTTGAACATATGGTAAATACAGATGTGTTTTTGTTTTCGATGCTTTTCTCGATCTTATCTTGTTAATGAAACAAAAAACGAAATCTATTGTTTAACAGCTGTCCTATGAATGAAGCTACTAGTCTGTTGTAGAAACAACACTGCTAGTATGTTTATTGACATACTATTTTCTTCTTATGTGTTAGTTGTCGAGCGATGAGCATCTAGCTTAGCAACTGGTTTGTGCTTCGGTGTAAAACACAAAAACATGTCAGCTTTTTACAAACCATATGGTCACTTCCACTAATTTTTATTGACAGAATGGTTTGGCGAAATAAGTTGGATAAACCATAATCTTTTAGGATGTTTTCATTATTTTGTAACGTTCACCCCTGAGAAGTTTAACTCTTAGTTTGTGTGGTACCACGCAATACAGCGGCTTATTGGGCAAATCATCCATCTTTGTATCGTTGGATAGAGCCATATCCTACTTACTCTGGTCTCGATAACCGGTTCGTGTCATTGACCTTCGCACTATTGTTTAGCTTAAAATGAGTGCAGAAGTTTGCACTAATTTTTGCTGAGTTACGGCTGACCATGTTTAAAATTGTTTGAGAATTGACATGCAGCTTTAGAGTTTAGTTTCAAGTTTGTAGGAACGACCGTCTGTGTTTGGATCACTTATGATTAAATAACACAATTGCAGTGGGTAGGTATCAAGGATTTATGTTGGTCAATAACATATTTTATGCATACTATATTGCTACTAATTTACTCTTTCCTTATTTCAGAGCGCTGGACCGTTTCCATCCGTTAACGGGACTGTTACATTAGATCGCATCAGTGAGTTCATAAATCTATTTGCGTTTATAAATTTTCTTGGGTCAAACCATACAGTTGATCACATCATGCTTAGTCCTTATATATATATATATATATATATATATATATATATATATATATATATATATATATATATATATATATATATATAATCTGTACTTGAAAATTCAGACAGTAGAAAATCCTCTTAATTTATGATCATATAAGTTAACAAGTCATTCATTACATGTGAAAATAACTGTCATCAAACTACCAATAAAGATTGGATTTTAGCCGTCGCTTCAGTTGCTTCATCCACATTGTGTTATTTGATAACCAGTTAGTAGTTCTTGAGTTACCAGCTTTTTTATTGAAATTGTTTTCATCATTTAATTTATATTAGCTTTTAGTTTATGAAAAATTATGACTCAATCACGACTTTTTACTGTGTTCTGGTTTATAATTAAATAGCAAATAATAACCTTCCACAACATCAAACAGACGACATGGGCTCAATCGGATTCGATTCATTGTATACTACAGCATTAAATCGTACGGGATTCGGATCATTATTTCCACAGTCTACTACTGCTACTTCTATCATTACTACTACTGCTGTTGCAATAAATACAACATCCACGGCTTCCTCTGTCCCTCCTTACAATCAAACTTCTGAAGTACAAGAACCTTGCCCTCATCATCGTTCATGTAGGTTAGTTAGTACTATGGTGCAAACGGACCTGGATGAAAAGCATAATGATTCAAATGAACAAATATTGAATAGTTTCCACCGTGACACTTTAATGAATAAGTTTCCTACTGATTACAACAACACTATTGTTAGTGATAAAATTGTGAAATCTGCTTCAGCCACATTGAACAATGAATATCAAACTGTAAATCCTATTGAGATACAATTTCGTGATCGAACGAGAAGGCAAGTTGGTTTCATGTTTCCGCTAATTGGAATTACTGGTATGTTTTCTCGAAGTAGATAAATACAGAATCTTAAGGCTTGCTGATTAGGTGAATTCGCACAACAATTCAATTAAGAACACAATGAAAAGTGATAGTCAGTGGAGTGTTATAAGTATCTAGTTAGAAGTTATTAATGAACGTAAGAAGTATAAGTTTACCGCAATCAGATGTAAAAGGTAAAAGATCCAGGACTCTCGATTGTCATCTAGGATTCTCCTTAAAATCCATAAATATCATTTTGGTGTTCTATTATTATTTCAGTATTTTTCAATCCATTGCAAGCAATATTTTCTTTAATATATACATATAGCTGATTAGGGTCTACGTATCTTACTACTTGTAGTGGCTGGCTAATTTAGCCCTCATTATATCAGCCAGATATTTATTTAGTTGGAGTTAGACATTAACACCATTGGATGCCGGCTCAGTGGTCTAGTGGTTAAGTGCTCGCGCGCGGAACCAGTAGGTCCTGGGTTCGAATCTCGCAAGGGGCGAGGTCGTGGATGCGCACTTTCACTGAGGAGTCCCATAATAGGACGAAACGGCCGTCCAGTGCTTCCAGGTTTTCCATGGTGGTCTAGCTTCAACTGACTCATGATCTTAATCATTGAGATATTTATTTGTCTATCTACCAAATGTTTAGTTTGACGTACATTCTTCTCAGTTACAGAATTTTGAGGTGTAATTGTCAAGATTATTTCATGTTGGAAGTCTTTAAGTATACAATCCTTAGTGCCTTCTAAGCAATTCTTACCAAATAGAAAATTGTTAATGACCTATACTGAGTGTCAGTCAGTCAGCTGCAACGTAGGACCAGGTACAAATATGCATCGGTCCAAGTTGCCATAACGCATTAGTACAACAAGATGAACACCGGATTCATAGAAGTAGTCACATCAAAGGTATTAGTATATAATAGAAAGATTGTGTATAAGGATATAATACAGGAAGAAAGAAAGGCATGAAGCGATTTTAATGTCTTAGTTTAAGGGAAGACAGAGAGTGTATGCACCGACGCTATTGTAATGGATTCTGGGCCATGTCACCAAGGGCCTCCAACCATTGGTTACGATAGTCACGCGGACCCCAACCAGGTAGTCTGCATCTACTAACATGGTTGAAACCAGAAGTTAGTGTCTTCAAGCACTGATGCCACGTTTTGATTAGCCGCCCCTAACTTTCTTCCAATTATCCCTAACACCGGTTACCATTGCGCGTCGTGGTAATCGGTGTCCAGGTATACGCAACACGTGGCCCAACCATCTCAGTCGATGAAGATTCATAACTTCATCAACTGATCTACCATCATCTTCTAATACCCTACGCCTAACCTCACTATTACTTACCCGGTGATCCCAGCAGATACCCGCAATATTTCTAAGACATCTGTGATCAAACACTAGTATCTTCTACTCTTAATGGCCATGTTTCGCAGTCGTATAGTAGAACACAACGAACTGCCACGTAGTATACTCTTCCCTTAATTGATAGACGAATATCTCGCCATTGCCATAGGTGACGCAAGTTGGCAAAAGCCAAACGAGCTTTTCGAATCTGTGCTGTGATTTCGTCATACACCAACCCATTAGGGCCGATCAGACTTCCAAGATAAGTGAAGTTGTCAACACGTTCGACTACTTCCCTCCTTATCCTTAGTTCAAGTGTTGACGCAGACCAGTCCTGAAGCAACAACGTGCATTTAGAGGGAGACAAGCGCATCCCAAGCATTCTGGCATTGTTGCTAGTAGTGTTCGAGTAAAGAGCCTTCACAAGGTGTATGTAATTCTGACGTACGCCTTTCGACGACAGACGCTGCCACAGAGCCTCTCGATCTACAGAGTCAAATGCTACTTTTAAGTCAAGAAAGACCACCATTGTCGGACGCCGATAAGTATGCCTGTGTTCTAGAACCTGACGAACGGTGAATATATGGTCTATACATCCACGACCAGGTCTGAAGCCAGCTTGATTCTCTCGTGTTTGCAGTTCACGAGTCTTAGTTAGGCGTCCGATAATTATCGAGGCTAGTATTTTAGATACTATATTAGTTAAACTAATCCCTCTATGGTTGTCACAGGATGATTTTGACCCTTTCTTATATATTGGGACGATAAGTGATTGTGACCAGTCAGATCAGATTATGTCCAACTCCCAGATTTTAACTAAAATATTAGTCAACCTAGTCGCTAAAATTGGACCACCATCCTTAAAGACCTCTGGAGCCAATCCATCTGGACCAGCTGCCCTTGCTTCTTTTAGATTAACTATAGCCTTTTGAACTTCAGCTAGAGTTGGAGGACCTACTTCAATGTTCCATTCACACTGTCTGGGAATGGAGGGTAGTTGTAGAGTAGCTGAAGGCCAGCTGAACTGTTCTCTAAAATGTTCGGCCCATCGTTCTAAACGTCTGGACTGGGAGCAGATGAGAGTGCCGTTTTTTTCCGAAATAGTCTGACTTACACTTGACTTTTTAATTCCAGTTTCTTTTATTAGTCTGTGGAGTTGTCTTGTGTTCCCTATAGCCGCCGCCTTTTCCATCAATACTGAGTGTAGTAATAAAAAAACTAATTAATTATTTATTCTCTGATAAAATGATTTATTTCAGCAAAATATTTTGACAGTATTGAGAGTTTTATGAATCGACAAAAGTTATGACCTATTTGGTCCTCAATGATGCTGACATTTGGAATCAAAAGTTTTCAGACCTATAGCAATGTATTATTCACATGTTTTTTCGAAAAACTATTTCACTTCTCTAATTGTATCAGCCCTAGCAACCAGATAAGACATCGACCGTCATAGTTTCGCTTACGATATTGTACGAATTTATTCAGTTGCTCTTTTGTTTACAATACTGTTAATAGTTTATTGTATTTTTTTATTCGATGTCTTGTATTCAGTAATTCAAGTTTACCGTTGACTTCATTGGGTGACAAACAATCCATTGATTTCTCCACGTCATCTCAAGAGAACTCAATTGGAGTAATGAGGTTAGTATGTTCCCTTAATTATTTTGTTTTCAGAAGTCTATATCACTACAAGTAAATAAAAAAATTAAAATATAGGGAGTCGGTTAGATTCAGCAATGTGGGCTTCTTTATTCTAAGTCTGTGGTTATGAGTTCTATTCTGTCAGGGGCGTAGGCAAGTGCAGGTGGGATTTAAAACTAGAGTGAAAGTTTCCCAATTTTCTCCATCGTTTTCTTATTTTCCCCTAATGTCAGTTGTTAACACAACTATATTCAATAGGAAATAAATCAATCATAGGTAAATTGAGTAATGACCACAACGGTTTTAAAGATAATTAAAAAATGTTAAGTCATCAGTCATTCAGTAATTGATGTAGTTTTCAAGATATGTAGTTGTTGAAATGTTTTGGTCATGTCATTTAGTATTAAGAAAACAGTAATCGACGTATTTTAACTCTGTAACATCATTTTAAAGTTTATGGAGTGTAAAAGGCATCCAAGAAATATGTGCACGTTCGCACCTTGGCTATGTACCTGTATTCTATCATTGTATTTATTCAAACAGAATTGTATACTCAAAATAATTTTAATTCACATCTGACATTTTTAATTTGTCACCGGCCATTCATGCAGTACATTGTGCAGTTGTGGTGCAAGTGATCTATGCTGATTATATATCCATTATCACTATTTATTATTTATTTATTTATTTATTCTAACACATAGATATTGGTACAGGAGGCACCAAGTACATATGCGCCACACAAATCTCATTTAATTTGTGTGAGGGCTGTGATACTGCCCGGGTGCCCAAACCGAAACAGGTGGTTTTCTTAGGGGACCACATCCCGAACCTTCGACCTGAAGCTTTGATCCACCAAGCAATGGAGCATCATAAGGAGATGCAGTCCCATGGTAGCCGGTGACCAACGATTGGTTCGTACGTCATTTGTTCCTTCAGGATACTGGAGCCAGCCCATGTGTACCATTGATTTGGAATCAGGCTTCTCCAACTCTCGTAGGTGGACTCTCCATGTCCATCAACCCGGTTAAAGCGCCAGATATTCGCTTTTCGTCCTCTCAATTTCGTAGACAACACCCCCGCCACGAGAAGGCAGTGTGTAGGACTTCCCTGGCAGAGGATATATACGCGTGGCCATGTGAGAACATTTCGGGAGGGAGAGCGGACTCTCCTCATTCTCGGCCGTACCAGGGCATCGTTTATATAAGCTGAAAAGAGCAAAACGCCTAGAAAACTACTTTGTATTATCCTACTTTTGACCGCGGCAGCATCCGAAAAGGATTATTTTATTTTGACTGTTTGGTGTCGGTAATTGGAAAGAAACCAAGCAAACTGAGTCTTTCTGATCCCATAACGTATGAGTTTTCTTATAAGAAGCTGGTGGTTAACTACGTAAACAGCTTCAAAATTGTCAAGGTATGGCTTTAAGACTAAAAATCCACGGTTACGTTGAGTGGAAACAAATTTGAAGAAGTCGCAGTGGCAGGCATACGAGATCGAGTTTTAAGGAAACCATGTTAAGAGTCAGTGTTAAGTTTTCTTAGTGGGTAAATAATTAGGGAGTTCGTCACCAAAAGTTCTTTCCATTGCCTTGGAGTTATATTTATGCGCCGATTATTGTTCATGTCAGTCTTATCTCCAGATTTGTAATGTTTGCGGTCTTTCAACAGTAACGGTTATTACTTGTTTCCAGAACGAGAGAGAGAAAGTGAACAGTTTTAGAATAAGTAGTGGAATATCTGGTCCACCATATTTGTTGGGAATGGATGTAATGCCATCTATCATATGACACTTTAAAACCTTAAGGGAATTTTTTTGCACTACTAATTTTAGATAAATGAAAGAAATAGATTTTATGGAGTTACATACATAACTGTTGAACCATCGCCATTTTGGAATTCATTATCTCTCGCAAAAATGTCACTTAAAAGGTTCACGATAGTTTTAGAGTCGTTTGATCATCATCGAAAATTCCTTCCTGAAGAGCAGACAATGTGTGGTGTCTTCTATATAGAAATTCTCAAGTGCTTAAAAGATCATATTAAATTAAATATGTGTAGTCTTAGTGGATGGTTGCTGTATCCTGACATTATGCTTTCATATTCAACACTGATTTTCCGCTAGTTTATGGACTGTAATTCAGTCATTATTTCAGATCGATCTCTCTATTTACCAGACTTAATCTCTTGCTTCATTTTGTCTGTGAACTGCGAATTAGTAATGAAGGTTGATAGCTCTGGAATAATTTGAGTACAATGAAACACGAAACGACGAGTCAGCTGTGAACAGTCTGACGTCCATGAAATTATTTAGATATTTTAAGCAATGTAAACAGTTTGAATAAGTATATATCCACAAACGCACAGTATTTTGCAGAGAAATAAGATAAAATTAGCGTAAATTTTACTAAATCAAGTTTTTTGATCTGAGTCCAATTCTTCTTATTATTATTTTGGATATACTATTATATAAGTACTCATTATGATTAGTTTTACAATGTATGCAAAATTACATTTTATAATTTTCTCTTCCTTAAAATTAAGCAAAATGACAAAAATTCATAAATATTTTCGTGGCGCTATGAGTGCAATGAAATCTGCTACAAAAAATAAAAGTTAGTTTATTTTGCTTTAATCTTAATCATCATTGTTATGTTTAATGATATTTTATCATTGAAGCTTATCTAATTTTTTAAATAGTAAACAATTTAAATTATTTACTAGTTGGTTATTAATCTTTACACTTTTCAATGTTGAATTTCTTCATACTATGTATCATTTAGTTTTTATTATCATTCAAGTCACGATGAGATTATAATTTATGGACGATCTTTGAACGACGTTAAGATGATCTTAAGAGTGTCTACCTACTTATTAGGGCTAAATGAGGGTTATAAAGCTGTTTGAAGAATAAGGATTATGATTTACAGTTGATGGTTAAGGTTAGGAATTAGATTTAAGGTTTTCACCATGAACTGACATTAGCTATAATGTCAAGACTCTATTTAGCCAAATCGATGAATAAATTTCGCGCCAAAATCCAAGACCTGTTATTCTCAATCTGATTGGTTCGTCTATAAATTATATTTTCGCCTAAATATATTTGTACAAAAATTTTTGTTCTAGTTCACTAGTGTCATTTTGATATTAGCTATCAATTTCAAATCTTATTTTCTAATCAGTATAAAACTGAAAAATCAGATAAATTATCTTTTTGGCTTAGGTACACTTGTTAATAGTACACTACTCTAATTGTATATAACTTCTTGTGCTGAACAATTCATTAACATCATTAAGATTTTACATGTTTTTGTTTCTAATCTGTTTATCGAATAAACTCACATGAATTATGTTTTTCATATCTACCTATTTATATTTCCTGCATATCATTATATTCTTAATTTAAATCTTTCAAAAACATTATCATGTATTATGGGTATGGTTTTCGTGATTTAATTCTAGTCTTCCACCCCCTTGATCGTAATCAATGTGCGAATATTGAGGGGATCGAAATTGAATAGTATATCAAGCTTCGAAATCGATAAACACATCTGTCGCTAACAAAGTCTCATGAACAATTATATGTATTTATTTGTCAGCCAGTTAGTTGGTCGTAATCAAGATAGAGCCTGACACAAGTATACATCACCTCAAGTAATCATATCATATCAACACATCGAGATCAAGCCTTTTGATTGTCTTTTAGTTTCATAATTGTCACTATCTATTCCATCGTCTATGAAACTTTTACGCTAAACTATCGAGTAGTAATCTGTGTTATGTTTTTTTGGTCCTTAAGGCTGGTTGAATTCCATACATCAAGTTGTAATATGGCCATGAGCTTAAGTGATTTGACATCTTGTGTGCATTATCTTTTGATGTTTGGTGGTTGCCAGCAGTCGAAAGGATGCCTTAAACCTAGATTTTGTATCGTTTCACACTTCAAAAAGATTTTTCTGCAATGCTGAGGGAATTGATGCTTCCTGTGGAATTAGAATTCTTATCACTGAGTTTCACAGCCAGAGACGTTACCACTGAGCTGTTCAGGCCTCAACTAGCTTCCTGTGGGACTGAGACTTTTACATTAATTACACCTCAAACTGTGTAACACAGGAGAACTAGTGCTCTCAAGACTGCTGGTAACCGTTGCTAACGCGTACCAGCTTTCTGTTAATTATATCCAGTTTATCTAATATTATTAAATTTCTATCGATTAGTCTTTAAGTGTAAATTAACTTTTAATCTTATTCATGTTATTTACCATTGTCTTTTTAAAAGTTTTCAATCCCGATGAAGAGTCATCTGATGAAGATGAAGAGATTATCGGAAATCAGGGCATTCGTGTAGGTTATATTTTTATTCGTATTATTGCCAATAACTTAATGGTCTAAGCGTTCGATTTTCAATCATCAATAAGGTTATGGTAACCCTACTTAACCTACTTCAGTTTAACTGCTGCATAAAAAACTGACTGAACTATGTGTACGCAGAATTGTACTTAATAATTAAGCTACATTGCCTAAAAAAAGTATTTTCTACTACCACTTGTAAAAATTTTTTTTCACATTGTAACCAAGTTTGATGGATCTTTAGTGCCTATTGTCTGACTCGATTCCATTATGGTCGCGTGATGATAATGGTGTTAGTAAAGTATATATCCTCCGTAACTCCGTATATTTTTTATCGACTTAGTTTGCGTTAGCGAATGACACAATATAACAAATCAAATACAAAGATAATTTTTGATGCATATATTTCACACATCTTTTGGTGTAGATAGATAATACAAAAAGAAGCAGATAAAACAAACTTAATTTAGTTAAAACATTATTCAACATTTATAGGCATGAGAAATGCGAGTATCTCGTGCCAAACTTGTAATAAACCGCATAGATTTTTAATGCAGTAAAAGCTGTTACAGGGTCGATTTGCCATAATGCTAATATTCAAAGATATACCTACAAGACGATGACGCTTGAAGTTGGAGCAATCTTAAGCGTATTCTAAACATAGATTTCCTCATTATTTATTTAGCTGTCGTGTAAAGTAACAAATATGATCATTTTTATTATAGCAGTTCATGATGAATGATGGAATCGCTCAATAGTTGAGGAATTCGACTTTCGACCGCTAAGTCAAGTGTTTTAACTCCACTCCATCCACTTTGGTTTGGTCGATCAGGTAGCCTCAATAACCCTTATATTTATAGTTTGTCTCGAAATTAGTTGCACGAATCTTTACCTGGTTAGCCACCTATAGTTTTTCAACCTATTTCTACCCTATTTGTCATTCCAGGTTAATGTTGGGGATGGATGGGATAAATTATACATTTTCCGACGGCCGAGATCTATGATCAAATTAACTGATTTGTTATTTTCACTCAGCGTCACATACCGTACCTCATTATCGTTTATTCGGTTATTTCGTCACACATGATCAAGGTTTCGAAGATACTTATGATCAAGTGCTGACATTTTACCCATTTCTTGTTCCATATACTGTTTCATAGCTTTAGGCTTGTGCTGAACAAATTGCCGAACAATGTACTCTTTCCTTTTGTTGGCAGACGACTAGCCCTTTCATGTAACAAGTGACATATAGTAAATAAAATAAATCTATATTTCTGAATCTCAAACATGTTTGCGTTGCCGTTCAAGCGGATCAAAAGACTGCATCTTTTATGGTCTTCATCAAACAGAACTGTGTCATCTACGCATTCTAAGTCAATAATGTAACCTCCCAGTAGGAATTTAATCCCTGGAAGATTAGATGATGTTATCCCTAAAAGTTCATCCAAGAATAAAGCCACCAACCCTGAGGAATATAATGTTTACGTTGTTGTTTTTTTTTGTATTTCTCATTTGTAGCTAAGATCATCTAGACAAGCAAGAGGAAGACGAGAATTTCTACAGATCAAATTGGTTCAAGAAATGAAAAATGAGCACACGGTTAGTCTATTTGTTTTTCGCCTAGTTTCTTGTTAATAATAATAGTATCGAGTTAAATCCTAATTTGTTTATGAATAAAATGATCTTGAGTGCTGAGGGGCGGTTATCACATCCCGACTGCCCACACTGTGCAAGGGTTCTTCTGGAGGTACCTCAAAAGGAAATCGGATTAGAGGTGATCTTAGTGACCTAAGAGCGTGATCGCAGTGCCCAAGGGACAACTGCTTAAGGTTGACCACACTTGACCTTTTTGTCAGTAATTTTCGTGTTAGCCCCGTTGAAACGATGAGCGGAACACTTCAACCAGCAGTTCAACTGACCTTCAGTTACTCTACTATTACCTACCATTCTCAAACAGCCTGAATGGAACATTGAAGTAGGTCCCCCGACTCTAGCTGAAGTTCAAAAAGCTATAGTTAATGTGAAACGAGGAAGAGCAGCTGGTCCAGATGGATTGGCTCCAGAGGTCTTTAAGGATGGTGGTAAAATTTTAGAGATTGGGTGACTAATATTTTAGCTAAAATCTTTCTTTTACATATTACTACCTTTGAAGTAACTACTATGAATTTAGTGTTGTGTTATGAGGTGTGGCAACTTAGACCGATGCATATATCTGCCTGGTCCTACGTTGCAGCTGACTGACTAATTTGTATACATTGTGTACATTATGAAGTTTTGTTTGCTTCCGTGACTCTCATCAGACTATTAACTCATAGTGAGCGATCTATTCAGTTGAAATTTTTCTGTGGAGATTGATTCTGTGATTGAATTGTCAGCCCTATTGTCTCAGTCATCTTAATGACAATTATAGTAATCTTTAATAAAAATATTATTATTAATTGAGATCGTGAACCGATTAATGTTAGACCAACATTGGAAACCTGGAAATACTGGACGGCCATTTCGCCCTTGTGTGAGACTACTCGGCAGTGCACATTCATGACCACTCATGTAGGACTCAAACCTAGGGCCTTCTGTCTCGCGTGAACTTTCAACCTCCAGACTACTGAGCCGGGACCCAACGGTTTTAATGTCTCACTTTAATCAATTCACGATTAGTATGAAATGGTAATAATAATAATAATAATGACACATTAATTGCCCGGGTGCCCGGTTTGGGCAGAAAAAAAGGATGTTATTGTAAATATTAAGTGAAATCCTGTTATAAAATATCTTGAATGAAAGACGAATACAAGTGAATGTCAGAATGGGGAATTGTGGAAATTGTAGTAATTTTACCGAGCGAATATCACTACAGTTTTTTTTAATTTCATATTCTACTAGTCAGTCCACATATTTAAATGCATATTTCTGTTCAATGGATGCATTCTTTTCCTTTTAAACTTTATTTTTGTCACTCATTATCTTATTACTAATTTTAATTTATGTTTTTGTTTATTCTTATTGTCCTCGTTTATTTTACTGAGTAAATTCCAATTTTACATACTTAATTTTATTTGTTTTGCCTTCTATTTTCATTGTTATGATGCATTAATAATAATAATAATAATAATAATAATAATAATAATAATAATAATAATAATAATAATAATAATAATAATAGTAAACATTAAAATTTACGTAATAACAAATGTGTGAATAGTCAATGTAAGTATACAAAGAAAAGAAGGAAATAAAGAGTAAAAAGAAGTAATACTGTAGTGAACGAGAACACAAGTGGGGACAACCAAATGTATTGTAACACAAAATTACAGTACATCTTAGTAAAATCTGAGAACCATACAGTAAATACTTAATTTGCAAAATGTCAATCATTCGTCTCAGACTTCACTGTTTCTTCATTTCCACAGCAATCATTCTTTATTCTCGTTCTCTGTCCTTCTATCTTCTTAACCTTCGGCCGCCAGACATTTCACTTTCGATTTATGATACATAATGCTTATATCTGTCGACATCAGTGAGATTTAAGTAGCTTTATATCTCTCTACAAACTAATTCTATCTTCCTGTACTATATCCTTATACACAATCTTTCTTTTATACATTACTATCATTGAAGTAAATACTTCTATGAATTTGATGTTATGCTAATGAGGTATGGCAACTTGGACCGATGCATATATATATAGTTGGTCCTATGTTGTAGCTGACTGACTGACTGATATCAGCAGCACACACCACAATACTATCATCTGTTAGGTTCTTTTAAGGATGAATATTTTATAAACCTTTCATGAACATAAAGACTGGATTGTTTAGTTATAATTTATGTAGTTTCATGTACATATACGAGACGAGTGCAAGCCCTGTTCGGAAAATTTGGACGTATTTGTAATTGTAGTTGAAACTATATGATCAGAATAACAAAAGGAAGTTACTGGCTATTAATAATAGGATTGTTTATCTAGTATTTTCCAGCCTGGTAACAAACGATGCTATTAAAAACTTTTCAATACAAATATAACATGTTGGCGTCGGGGTTGGCAACGAGCAGTTATAACCTTCGTTATTGGTAAAATGTGGGTTCAATTCATTTTGAAAAGATATGGTACATACTGAAAGAATTTCTTAAATGCTTTGGTCATTAACTCATGTGATAAGTGTGATAAATTAGACTTGGAGCCCATATTTATTTAATCCCTTCTGAACTAGCAAAGATATTAGCTACCAAAACAATTCTGTTGCTGATTTTCGACCTCCACATGACTGTGTCTGGTGAAAGAGACGTCAGATGGGGACAACCGATTTGTACACATTATACACATACATTAAATACTTCATTTGCAAATCTTCCATCAATTGTCCTTTACATATCTGTCAATATAAGTAGCATGCACCATATGTGCACTCCAATAGCTGGGTTGTTGCACTCCCTGACTGGAGTCCTAGGAATTTTCCAATGCGGTTGCTTGAGACGTTTTCGGACATGGCTCAAAATAGAAGCCCGTGATGATCCTACTGTAATATTCTTTTAATTCAGATAGGTGAGAGGAACTTCTTTAACTCAAAGATTCCATTCTTGTCGTATTTTTATTGACTGAACTGATTCTCGCATTATTATTATTATTATTATTATTATTATTATTATTATTATTATTATATTTCTGTGTCCCTTTATACCAATGTTTGTGTTTAAATAAATAAATATGAATTGGACAAAATGGTGCTAAAACTAGGTAACCTGTTTATTGTCTTATTAACCGTGATTTGTAGACTATAAAAGTTACCTCAGTCCCATTAAACCTTACCGCTACTATGCTTTTATGTTAGACATCACTAGGTATATTTTTGTTACTTTCTACGAGCCCCCATAATCTCTATTTTCATAGTCCATATCCATTTATGCATTTTTTATGAAGCTCCAACATTAGTATGTTCTAATTAATAAATTTTATTTCCTTCTCTTTTTGATAGTAAGTTAACTTACTAAGTTTATTTTGGATCAAATAAGCGCGAACTTTGAAGGAATGTGCTGTATTTTTGATATACAGATATGTTTTTTAATTGTCTTTTCTTATTATCTATTTCTTAATCACTGTACGTCTGATTAGTTTTAGAAATTGAATTATTTACAATATATATATATGACCTGTCATGCGAACGACTTGGCTTTGATTTTCAAGTTGAAAGTAAATCCATAAGCTCTTATTCTTGGTTGTGAAGTTGGATGAACTATCTGATTTAATCACTTTTATGCTTTTTTACTTGTGCTATAAAAATATTAAAATGACTGGAAATTGTTTCAGTAAACATGGTTGGTGTCTGTGATATTTCTTTTATACAAGTTGATAGAGTCAATCCTATAAACGCTCTCTTTAATTGTTTGTTTTAGTAAATATTAAGGAGGGATTAGATACGTATCCGTCAACTTGTATTGCATCTACGTTTTTATGTTCAATTTGTGTGCAATATCTAACACTTTTGTTAATTTAGTGTCTGAATGCTACATATAAGACTATAATTTCTACCGGAGATTTTACTTCAAGCTCTAACTTTCATTTTATTTACTTTTCTTATTTGATACATTTGGAAAAAATGCTCAGAAATGTTAGATATTGAATACGGAATATAAGATGATTATCTTCACAAACATTAATAATTAGCTTTAAAATTTTTACAGAAGTTGATTTATATTACTTACACTGGATTCTAACCAATTATCATATATGATAAGTTTTAAATAGATTTATAAATATAACTTACATTCTTTCCTAGCTTAATGAAACAAATACACTTTTACTTAAACGGTTATTCTCACAATTTACAGAACTTCAAAATCGTCAAAAACTATGTAATTATGCGTTGTATTATATATATAAAAGTAATCTTGAAGTGATACTGCAATGTTCTTTTCACTTATGTACCTTTAAAGTGTTATATAGTGTAGAATTGCTCGTATATCTTGGGACAATCGAGTAAGTAACGGAGTTGTTAGGAAACGGATACTAGGTAAGGATGGAAAATCAATTGATGAAGAAGTGAAACATCATCAGTTGAGATGGCTGGGACACGTGTTACGTATGCCCAACCACCGACTTCCCCGACGTGCGATGTCTTATGGTGTAGAACTAGGTTGGAAGTAAGCTAGGGGTGGCCAGACCAAGACATGGCACAAATCCATGAAGTCACTGATAAGTGGACTGAGCCATGTTGGTAGGTGTATACTACTTGGTTGGGGACTGCGAGACGATAGCAACCGATGGTTAGAGATCTTAAATAACATGACTCAAAATCGTTTGCAATGGCGCAGATGCATCTACTCTTTGTTTTCTCCTGAATTCTTCATGTCCCTTTTCTCCTCTTTCCAAATTTATTTCACTGTATTATACTCCTTGAATAACATCTTCAAACCCTAATGTTTCCGATTACTGCTTATACTTTTACTACCTCTACCACTACGGGATTTGAATCGACAACTGCATCTGTGTGCTAATGTGGTATGGCAACTCGAACTGATGTACGTACGTACGAAGTTCTACGTTGTTACTGACTGATAGTGTAGAATTTCCTTTCAATATCAGTATCATCTTTAAATTTTATAATTTATTATCAATAATATTTCTTTCATTTTAGGGTGCTATATGGGCTATGCGTTTTTCACCATGTGGTCGATTATTGGTAAGTTATACTTTTGTTTACAAAAAAATATAGAAATCATCATTTATGACACTTTTCATATTGTCCAGTCGATTAATCCTCAATAACACCGATTTCGCTTCTTTTTTTCTCATACGAAGATATTTTGTATTCACTGTATCAATAAAAACAGCATTATTATTTATTTTGCATGATATTAACAATAAAGTCATCGTTCCATCGTCCCATTATTCTTCCTTTCTCTTCCTATATCCTTTCGTATTCACTAGTAATCATTTAAACTCTAAAGTATTATTAATTTCTTTCAAATCTGTTGTCTGCATTAATTTTATTTGTTTTATTAAATGAAAACTTGGATTTTTTCTTAATCATTTTTTACAAACGACATATTATCTTCAATATATTTCGATTATGTTCAGCAGGAAAAAGTAACGTTACATTCTTGAATTACTATTAGCATTATTAAATACATTTTAACTGCCCATCCTTATAACTTACCTGGAGGTTAATCACTTATTTTCTGATAATTACCCTCTGGACATAATGTTGTAAAAATACTTTTCGGATCTGAACTATATGTTTGTACTTCTGTATCTAAATTGATTTGACATCATGAAATAATGTTGCTTAATCAAATAACAGTGCCTGTTTGTGTCTAGATATCTTAGACTAAGACCTTACATTTGATAATTAGTTATTCAAGTATACATAGTTGACATTCTCTGTTCATTCTTTTGGTATTTCCTAATGGGACAATTTAATAGTTGGATACTATTTTTTAACATTGTCCTAATCGTACAAATTACAGTGTCAAACGTTTTCGGGAAATATATTGTTGGGATTATTTATTGAGGCAAAATGGTAAGTAGTGAGGATAAATAGAATTCCGATGCTGTAAGTACAAGTTTATAATATGATTCACAAAAAAATTGTGTAGCTCAAAGCTGTACACAACATGAACATGTTCACTTAGTAAATAGTCTGCATTATTATAATCTAAAACAACTCAACAAATAAAGTGTTGTTGTTATATGTCCGATTGGTAAAGAAAATTCATCTCAGATATGTTGTTTTTCATTCTTTTCATTAGTTACTATTGATTTTTATTTTACCTAAGGCTACTGCTGGATATGATCGAAATATTCGAATATGGGTCCTAAGACAATGTTACCGATATTTCAAAGAAATGCAACGAAGTTCTAGTAAGCCATAGTGTTGCTCATTCTTTTATCTACTAATTTTATCGTCTAGACGTATTATTGGAATTTCTAGAGGTCTTGTAAATTAAATTGATTATAGATGTTTATTTATTTTATTTTAACACATAAGTATAGGTACAGGGAGGCACCAAATACATATGCGCCACACAAATCTCAATTGATTTGTGTGAGGGCTGTGATACTGTCCGGGTGCCCAAACCGAAGCAGGTGGTTTTCTTAGGGGGCCACACCCCGAGCCTTTGACCTAAACGTCTTACCCACAAGGCAGTGGAGCATCGTGAGGAGATGCAGTCCCATGGTAGCCGGTGACCAAGGATTGGTTCATACGCCATTTGTTCCCTCAGGATACTGGAGCCCATGTGCACCATTGGTTTGGTATCCGGTTGAAGCCGGTGCCGGACATTCGCTTTTCGTCCTCTCATTTTCGTAAACAACACCCGTGGTGCGAGAAGGCAGTGAGTAGGACTTCCCTGGCAGAGGCTATATACGCATGGCCATGTGAGAGCATTTCGAGAGGGAGAGCGGACTTTCCCCACTCTCGGCCGTACCAGGGCATTGGGGGAGCCGATTATAGATGTTACTATATTTGATTCATTTGGCTCTCATAACTAGCGTCATTAGTAAGTGTTTTACCCTTCCTCTAAAAATGAATTAACTCTATCAATTTATCAGTGGAAGTCGTCAAAACAATAGGTTAATTTTAGCAAGTGATAACAACTAGCAGTTCATGTGATAGTGAACATAGCAAGCGTAACATTTGTTTATCCCAAATTTCTGATAACATTACAGATTGAAAAGTGAGTATTATCATTTTTACTTCAAGTGGTTATAATGATCTTGAAGACTTCCGGTGAAATGTTGATTATATGGTGATTACCTGTGGCTGATGTTAAGTAATTTTATACCATACATTCATGACTTGAATGTGTATAAGCCTACAGTTTTCTCGAAAGCTAATCTAGTTCGTGGATATTATCATATTCTAGTTGAGCCGAAAGATGTTCTTAAAATGAAAATCACAATTCGGTTTTGTGTTTCTTCGATTTGGACTCGGGTTTATTAATGCCTCACGCTAACATTTCAACTACTGTGTGGTCAAGTAATAGTTGGGTTAACATTCTGATAACCTTATGTTAATGATATATTAGCCGTGGGTTCTTCAGGAACAGAACACCTTGAACATCTCTAAACTCTTCCTTTATTCACCAATCCATAATCGACTAACCGGTCATGTAGTAAATAACCAGGAACACATAAATATTGGTGCAAAGGAGCACCAGATACATATGCGCCACACAATAACAATGAGAATGGGAAGAGATAAAGAATGTAAGGTGCGTGTAATAAGAAAAAAAGAACAATAACGATGACAAATTTGTGTATGGTAGTGAAGTAATAATAATAATAACGGGGGTAACAGAAAGGTACAAGCATAGAGCAGAACTTCTCTCATCGACGCGTTGTAGATCCGACCTTTTACAGCCAGGCTAACATTACAAAGACTCCAAAGATGGCCCAGATTAAAATAAGTCGCTCTGGTTTTCACTATACGTGCATTGATTTCATCACCCATGCCACCACCAGCACTTATGCAGCTACCTAGATACACGAACTTCTCGACCACTTCTAACTGCTTACTACCCAGGATGAGTGCAGGATCAGTGTCCTATTAGTCTTGTAAAAGTTATTTGCACTTTGAAAGCTCGAAGCACATACCGTACTTACGATCACTAATTGTCAACTGATTAAGTACGGATTGCATAGCTTGGGTATCATCGCATAGTAAGACATTATCATCTGTATACTTAAGGTCGAGAAGTCTTTCTGCAGGCAACAGATCCACACCACCATTACTTACATCCGTCAGAGCTGTTTCCAGAATGTCATTGATGGCAAAGTTGAAGAGGAATGGTGAGATTGGTCAACCCTTCCTAACCCCACTGCTTGAATGGAATAATTCAAAGAGGTGGTTGTATGCCCTCACTCTGCCTAAAGTGTTTGTATGTAGGGCTTTCAATATGCTAATAAACTTCTCAGGCACACCCTTCTTCAATAGACAATCCCAGAGAATAGTCCTGTCCAACGAATCGAAGGCAGCCCTGATATCAAGAAACACTACGATTGTTGGCCTTCGATAAGTATGGCGGTGTTCTAACATTTGGCGGAGGGTGAAGATATGATCAATACATCCTCGACCAGAAAGAAACCCAGCCTGCTCCTCGCGAGTCAATCCTTCTCGGGTTCTGAACAACCTACGAAGTATGACGGAAGCCAATAGCTTGGATGCAATCGGAAGTAGACTTATCCCCCGATAGTTGTTACAGGAACAACGTGAACCCTTTTTAAAGATAGGGACAACTATCGACTTATTCCATGACGTTGGTACACTTTTTGAACTTCTAAACCTTTGTAAACAACGCGGTCAGTTCCTTAACCAGAATGTTGCCACCATCTTTAAAAAGGGCCAGAGGTAATTCATTTGGGCCCGGTAATTTGTGGAGTTCCTTACAGACTTCTGCCTCATTTAGTGGATCAGTCGTCACAGGCCATGGAGGGCAGTACAGTCTGATCAATGTTGCCGAGGCAACAGACCAGTTGCACTGCTCGAAAAACTCTGCTCATCGTCCAAGATGTTGATAGATTTCACTGATTGGCATCTCATCATCACAGATTGACTCACTCACACCAGACTTCTTGCTGCCAGTGGCTCGGATGAGTTGGAAGAGCATGCGGCAGATTCCAGATGCAGCTGCTTCTCAGTCCTTACGCAAGCTTTGCCTAATTTCATTACTTAACAGCCTTCGTTTGTGGTCAAACGCACGGTCACCTGTAGTAGACCGACGGATCTCGATGAGTTGTAAGGAGCTTGAAGAAACCCAGTGCTTATAAGCGGGATGTTTCGCGAAGCTGCAAGCGACTTTACTCACCATTCTCATGGCGTCGTGCAGTTGCAACCAATGCTCATCGATACTTTTCGGTGGGATGTTGGCTATCCTTGAACCTAGCTGTGTTTGATATTTAGTTGCAACAGTAGCTACACCCAATTTACTGTCATCGATCTGTTTAGGACGATGAATTTGAAAGTAAAGTCAGACTAGCGCAAACAAGGGCATGATCAGAGTCCATATATGTACTCCAGAAGGAGTGGCAGTCTTGTATACAACCATGTGAGCGGTAGCTGATCGCGATGTGATCAATCTGAGTATATGTTTGAGATGCAGAGGGAAGGCGCCAGGTGGCACATAGGCGATGACTGTGTCGGTAGTTAGTGCTAGCCAGAAACATTTTTTGGTCTGCCCACAGTTGCAGTAGACGGTCCCCGTTATCTGACCTGCGACCAACAAGTCCCCATCGGCCACCTAAACGACTCTCTTCTTTACCTAGACGCCCGATCCGAGTATACAAGTCTCCGGCTAGTGATACAATATATATCATGTATATTAATGATATTTTATTCTATATTCATTTTTCTGATTGATTTCTGTTAGTAGACATGGTATTCGATATAAATGTTTTCTATATGCTTGCTAAACCAAATTTATCCAAATGAGAACATTAATAAATAACTAAGGAGATATAGTCGGAAAATTTGAATAAAGAGGTGTACAAATCATCGATATGTGTATATATGACTACACAATGTAGGTGGCCGAGTGGTTAAGACGATGGACTGCTAATCCATTGGGGTATTTTCGCGTGGGTTCGAATCTCATCCGCGTCGGGTGTCGCTTTGCCCTCAAATGCCCTGGTATGGCCGAGAGTGGGAAGGGCCCACCCTCCCTCTCGGAATGCTCTTACACGTCCATGCGTATAAAGCCTCTGCCAGGGAAGTCCTACTCACTGCCTCCTCGTGGCGGGGGTGTTGTCTACGAAATTGAGAGGACGAAAAGCGAATATCTGGCGCTTCAACCGGGCTGATGGACATGGAGAGTCCACCTACGAGAGTTGGAGAAGCCTGATTCCAAATCAATGGTACACATGGGCTGGCTCCAGTATCCTGAGGGAACAAATGACGTATGAACCAATCGTTGGTTACCGGCTACCATGGGACTGCATCTCCTGCCGTTGCTCCACTGCTTTGTGGATTAGACCTTCAGATCGAAGGTTTGGGTTGTGGCTCTCTAAGAAAACCACCTGTTTCGGTCTGGGCACTCGGGCAGTGTTACAGCCCACACATAAACAAAATGAAATGATGATAATTACTGAAAATACTATTCACGCCTCATTTAAAATTCAGACAATTCACATCCACTTTTATTTTCTCATTTATTCCCACTTTATTTATCCTTATTTTTCAACTTATAAAGCAGCTAGCTTATAGTAGAAAGTGTTCTATCTGAACGATCTCGAGTCACTGACTGGTCGAAAATTGAATGCTACCACCGACTACGAATACTGAAAGTCTTTCTGAAACCACGTATATAATTCAAACTGGCTTCTTTCAACATTCGCAAATGAATGCAATATGACAACAGATTAGGTTGGCTATGTCTTTAAAAAGTCTTAATATCGACGTCTGTTGTCTATCCGAGACCCGTATTCCAGACTCTAATGAAGTGCTAAAAATTCGTTCTCCATCTGTTGCTTCGAAAAGCTTATTTTATGTGTGTTTATTTGGAGACCCTGTGGCATCTTCGTCTGGTTTTGCTGGCGTTGGTTTCTCACTAAGCGCTGGAGCTGAGGCAACACTAATCTATACAATCCCCATTAACAGTCGGTTATTTGCTGTTAGACTAGAAAGTTCCATCAAAGTAAGAGGAAATCGGTGTGAGAAACGATGTCTTTTTGTTATCTCCGACAAATTGCAGCCAAGATGCGATCAAGGCTGAGTCTTACCACCGGCTAACAGTTCTTCAGATAGTGCGTCCGATATTTTATTTATTTGATCACATAGATATTGGTACAGGAGGCACCAAGTACATATGCGCCACACAAGTCTCATTTGATTTGTGTGAGGGCTGTGATACTGCTCGGGTACCCAG